TGTTGTTCTGACTTTCCTTCCTCGCTTTTCCATTCATACCTGACCCACCTCTAATTTCCAAACTTTTGTTGGTATATTTGGACGTTTATATTAATGTTATTAGTAATTATCTTTAAATGATGGACTTCTTCCCCAAGAACAAGTTTTTATGCTTACATTTAGTTTTGTTACCTCTTTGACAATAGTTATTTGGGGTTAACCATACTTTCCTGGTTATTTTTATATCTGCTAGTTCTTGAATTTCCTTCTTTAGTCTTTTTTTTTTTCAGTAGGGCTCAGAAGTGCAGTACTTTCTGTCACCTAGTGTAAGACCCGTGCACTTTGCACAAATCACACGCCAGGGGTGGCTCACTTCACAAAGACCACAAGACAAGAGATGCTGCAATCAGGCAAGAAGAATTTTATTTTTCAGCTAGCTGAGGCCCTTTGCCTTTCGGAAAAGCGCCCCCTCCCTTTACATTGGAGTTTTTATACACTTTCTTTGGACAAAGACTTTATTCATGGTCAGGCTTAATAATCACTTGGGCTCTGCCAGGTGTCCTGAAGATAAGAGGGCTGGTTAGTCCTTGAGACGGGCTGGTCTCTGGAATGTGCGTCTAGTTCTGCTTTGACCTCTAAAAAGCTGCTTCACTTAAAATACCTTTAGATATGTTTTCCTCATTTTTAGTAAGTTCTTACAGGAACAATTTGTGCAGATTAAGTTAAAGTTATACTGTGCAGGCTAAAGTTACATTTCAGGCAACAGTGCAGGTTAAAGTTACATTTTTCTTTATAACACTCGTATGTATGAGAATGCTTTCCTTTTGACATATCATATACATGGCGACTTGATTGTAAATTAGATTATGGATCACAGACTTTACCTTTCAAGACTGTGGCGATTGTTCCAGTCTATTCCAACATTTCATATTACAGAAAAATTGGGGTCCAACCTGATTCTTTGTCCTTATAAATAACTGATGTTTTTTCTGTCTATAGAGCTTTTATTGTTTTTTATTTTTGAAATTAAAAGTCCAGTAGATGTATTGTGGTAGAGGTCTCTTTACACTAATTAAGTTTTAGGAAAAGTATCTTCTTTCTTAAATTATTTTTTCCCCTTCAATTTCTCTGTCTTCACTCTCTGGAATATCTGATGTATGCATATTGGATTTTTTTCATTTATCTTCCATGTCACTTGTCATTTCTCTCATTATTTTAATCTCTTTATCCCTCTGTGGAGTCATTTCCACTTCACTATTCCATTTCTGCAGAGCCCAGCTGCCACGTGACAGCACTTCTCATCTCTTCAAAGATTTTTGCTTTGGCACCTCTTCCTGTTCTGACTTCACAAATGCAGTGCTAGATTTAATCTTGTCACAACCATGACTAAAAATCTTCTGAGATTTTTGCCTGTTCTTTGCTGTAGTTCACATAAAAATATTGGCTTTGACTTCTCAGGTGGTCTTTTCTCTTAAAACTTTGAAATCTTTTCTTATGTCCAGTGATTTTTACTATGTGCTTTCCCATGGAGAGGGAGGTCTGCGTGAGTCCAGGACTGAAATTGACATGGTTTCCACAAGAGATCACTAGGGTTCTAATCCACATCTGTCAGGTCAAATGATAGGAGCACAGAAAAGTCAAGTTTTGCTTTGCTTACATCCTTTGAGAGGAGGAGCTAGAGACGGTGATAAGAAGGGAGGCTTCAACTTCGTGAGTTTCTTTTTGCTTTGACAGCCAGACATTAGCTGGGGCAATGACTCCTAGCCAGGGTCAGCCATCAGTTCATATGTAAAACAAAATGCTCTGTGCAAAAGGCTCTTCAATCCCCCAGCCCACAGCATCACATGGTCTCTTTAGAAGCACTGATGGACCTCCCAGTGGCTCCCAGTGGCTCCTCAGTGTGTCCCAACTCCAGCCCTAACCACAGAGGAGATGTAGCCTGGCTCTCTGTTGCCCCTACATCCCACCTGAGGCTGTGTCAGCGGCTGCTCCGAGCTGTGCAGAGGGGCAGCAGCAGAGTGGCCACGCCACTGCCTGCCACCCATGCTGTCCTTGGGCTTCCACAGGAGGGTGCTGATGAGCAGGACTACGCTTCATAGCTGCAGGTCTAGTTGGTGCTCTTTACCCTTGCCCATCTGTGCCACATCAGGCAGAAGATGTACCTTTATCTTCTGCTGCAAAGGCTGTCAGCCTCCTCTAACTTCCGTGCCCATGCAGGTTTTCCCCCATCTGTGTGTTATTGGTTGGGCGACAATACTTTCTGGTTTGCCTGGGATGGTCCCAGATTCCTCTTGGTTGTCCCAGCATAAATGTTAATAACACGCCCTTTTACTCTCAAAAGTGTGCTCGTATGAGCAATAAATTATATGATCACTCTGGTTAACGATCATTTCACAGGGGACTGGGAACGGCCAGTTGCTCTCAGATGATCACATCACCCTCCTTCCCAGAAGCTGGTGTAATTTTTTTTTTTATCAAATTGATGCCAGTTCAGTAATGGCCATTCTCCCCATCCCTGTGTCTCAACCCATCTTTAGTAACTTTCTCCTCTCCGGGCAGATCATTTTATCTTTCTGAACCTCTCTTTCTTGCTCTCTTAAATAAGGGTACTGAACTCTGTCATGCCAACCTCACACTGCCCACAGGTCAAGGTAAGACCACGGATGCAAAAGCCTCTGTAAACCGTAAACTGCAAAGTGCAGTAAAAATGTGAGGCTTCATTTCAGGAAGGCCTAGAATGTGGAAAGGGCTGCTGCGTGGGTGGTACTGGCAGCCCCTCGTCCCTGTTCTGGGATTCGATCTGCTGGGCCCAGCCGCTGGACTCACTGTCTTCCTCTCCTCCTCACCCCCTATCTCGGCAGGAGAATCGCTGCCCTTGGCCACCTCCAATCAAGTTCTCATTAAGTTCAGTGCCAAAGGCCAAGCACCAGCCAGAGGCTTCCACTTTGTCTACCAAGGTATGCAGCACGTGGACACCCGAGGTACGAAGGTGATCCTGGGTCTTCGGTGACTCAGTGACAGAGAGAACAGGGATCTTTGACCCCTAGTTTAAGCCTCTTTCTCAGGGTGTTTGGGGATAGTTACTAGTTTGTGGGGCAATTTCCTGAAATTCAGTTGAGTTTTATACATTTGCTTACCCTACAGACATTTCTTGGACCAAACTTTATGTTGCATGAGGAAGGAAATGAGACATGGCTAATTTCTTCCCCTGCCCCTCCTCGCCCGGTCCCCCTGCCCATTGTCTAGTACAGTCCAGTGGCATTGGAGAGGCATCCCAGGCCTCTCTCCAAGACTCTCTCCCATGGGGCCTGGTTTTGTCTGCAAGGCACAGTAAGGGTGTGGGGAAAACACAGACTTTGAAGTGAGGTGAACATGGATTTGAATCCCAACTCCGCCACTGCACCTGTAAAAAGACAGGATTAAAAGAGTTCACAAAGCAGCTGGTACCAAGCAGGTAATCAGTGTTCACTCCCTTCCTTCCTGGCCCAGAAGGGCAAAGTCTTGGTGCATCCTGGCTTCCTCCTGCAGGCCCCAACCTCCCCTTGTGCAGAACACCCACTTCTGTAGGCCCCCGGTTCTCGGCACGGTCCTGTTCACTGGACTCTGCCCAGGATGAGCTGCATCTCCTTGTTCAGGGGTAATCCTGCTCCTGGGGGTGCCATCCCTGGGGTCTGGGTCAGAGGGTCCCATCTGCCATTGTGGGGCAGGGAGAGAAGAGATTCAGGTCATGGAGAGCAGGGCCCTGGGCGTGGAGAGGAGAGGCCAAAGGCAGGGTGAGGGCACTGAAGGTGGAGGAGGAAGGGCCATTCTCTCTGCTGGGGAACATGGGACCCTGATCAGCGAGGGGCATCGTTGGGAAAGCAAAGAACAAAGCTGGGCCTAACGTCTGGAACCAGGAGGCTCACACTACCTTCCGTGGTTTCCAGAAGCTGTGCTGCAATGTTGTGTGTCCAACTGTTTCAGTAAAATGGACATCAGCCTAGTCAGCCCCGACCCCTGCCCTAGGGGGAAGTGCCCAGAGCCTCTCAGGGTCCCACCCAAACTGCCTTTGTTGCAGTCTCATTGTGTGTTGATCACCGGGCCAGTTTCTAGAGGGGTGAGGCCTGGCCCTCAGTGCCCTTGTCCCCTGCAGCCGTGCCCCGAACCAGCGCCACACAGTGCAGCTCTGTGCCAGAACCCCGCTATGGCAAGAGGCTGGGCAGTGACTTCTCGGTGGGGGCCATCGTCCGCTTCGAATGCAACTCCGGCTATGCCCTGCAGGGGTCCCCCGAAATCAAGTGCCTCCCTGTGCCCGGGGCCTTGGCCCAGTGGAATGTGTCAGCACCAACGTGTGTAGGTGAGCGCCCAGACAACCAGGACGGGGGCAGGAGCAGCACACAGCCCTTTCTCCCTGAGGGAGGCAGCAAGGCCCGGCAGAGGCCCCAAGGCACACAGCAGCCCCTTCCCACCAGCGTAACTTAAGTGGGATGCCCCATTCAGGCCGCATCACTAGGCCTGTGGCTTGGGTGTGGAGACAGCGAGGAGGAGCAGCTGGGGGTACTGGGGAGGGACACATGTGAAGGGGGGGAGAGACAGCGAGGGTCCTGATCCCTGAAGGAGGTTGTCTGGGGAGAAGTCACGGGAAGAGGCCAAAAATGGAATGGGAAGGCCATGAAGGGAGAAGCCAGCAGGAGGAGAGTCCCACGCAGAGGCCGGGGCTGAGGAAGGAGTCTGTCTGGAGGCCCCCTGGGGGAACCACACGGACCCAGGAGGGGCCTCTGACCGGAGCTGCCTCCCCTCCCAGTGCCGTGTGGAGGCAACCTCACAGAGCGCAGGGGCACCATCCTGTCCCCCGGCTTCCCGGAGCCCTACCTCAACAGCCTCAACTGTGTGTGGAAGATCGTGGTCCCCGAAGGCGCTGGCATCCAGGTAGGGGCACAAAGTCTCCTCAGTCGGGCCAGTTGCCACCCACAGGTGCTGGTCATTGCCAAACCCCAAGCCAGGGTGAGCCCAGAAGAAACACATCAGCCCTGTGCCTGCCCCTGTGGCTGAGGAGGCTCAGTCCAAGGGTACAGATGTGGCCACAAACAGAAAAGCACCAGAGCTCGTGGGCTCTTCGGAGGGCAGCAGGGGAGAGGCAGGCACTGGCTCAGGCCAGCAGCAAAGGCTAAAGGAAGGAGTGGGCGTGGAGCTGGAATACGAAGATTGCGGAGGAGTCATGGGAGGTGTTTTTCAAATAGCTTGAGGAGTTTAAGACTTCCAGAGATGAGCAGAAAGCCAGCCAGACTGAAGTTGGCCACCTTCCTGGAATTTCTTTTCCCCATTCTCTACCTTGCAAAGTATCCCACTGTGTTACAATCATGTATTTCACATCTCTCTCCCCCACCAGACAATGAGCTCCTCAGAGTAGGGACTGCGTCTGGCTCTTATTGGAAGGACCTAGCACAGAGTAGGTGCTCAATAAACTGAATTAACTATGGGAAGGGAGGAGAGGAAATGGAGGGAGGGAAGAGAGAGAATTAGGGAGGGAGGGAGGGAGAGGCGCAGGCTGCCGGACTGACAGTTCGATCCTTCTGCCTTCCCAGATTCAAGTCATCAGTTTTGTCACAGAGCAGAACTGGGACTCCCTGGAAGTGTTTGATGGTGCTGACAACACTGTAACCATGCTGGGAAGTTTCTCAGGTAAGCTGGGGCTTCCAGAGGCTTCCATTTGGAAGGTAGCGGTAGACATCATCACCATCATGTTATTATTGAGATATATTTCACATGCCATAGAATTCACCATTTTAAAATGTACACCAGTGGTCTTTAGTATATTCACAAGTTTCTACAACCATCACTACTACCTAATCCCAGAACATTTTGATCANGCAAAGGCTGTCAGCCTCCTCTAACTTCCGTGCCCATGCAGGTTTTCCCCCATCTGTGTGTTATTGGTTGGGCGACAATACTTTCTGGTTTGCCTGGGATGGTCCCAGGTTCCTCTTGGTTGTCCCAGCATAAATGTTAATAACACGCCCTTTTACTCTCAAAAGTGTGCTCGTATGAGCAATAAATTATATGATCACTCTGGTTAACGATCATTTCACAGGGGACTGGGAACGGCCAGTTGCTCTCAGATGATCACATCACCCTCCTTCCCAGAAGCTGGTGTAATTTTTTTTTTTATCAAATTGATGCCAGTTCAGTAATGGCCATTCTCCCTATCCCTGTGTCTCAACCCATCTTTAGTAACTTTCTCCTCTCTGGGCAGATCATTTTATCTTTCTGAACCTCTCTTTCTTGCTCTCTTAAATAAGGGTACTGAACCATCCCTGTGTCTCAACCCATCTTTAGTAACTTTCTCCTCTCCGGGCAGATCATTTTATCTTTCTGAACCTCTCTTTCTTGCTCTCTTAAATAAGGGTACTGAACTCTGTCATGCCAACCTCACACTGCCCACAGGTCAAGGTAAGACCACGGATGCAAAAGCCTCTGTAAACCGTAAACTGCAAAGTGCAGTAAAAATGTGAGGCTTCATTTCAGGAAGGCCTAGAATGTGGAAAGGGCTGCTGCGTGGGTGGTACTGGCAGCCCCTCGTCCCTGTTCTGGGATTCGATCTGCTGGGCCCAGCCGCTGGACTCACTGTCTTCCTCTCCTCCTCACCCCCTATCTCGGCAGGAGAATCGCTGCCCTTGGCCACCTCCAATCAAGTTCTCATTAAGTTCAGTGCCAAAGGCCAAGCACCAGCCAGAGGCTTCCACTTTGTCTACCAAGGTATGCAGCACGTGGACACCCGAGGTACGAAGGTGATCCTGGGTCTTCGGTGACTCAGTGACAGAGAGAACAGGGATCTTTGACCCCTAGTTTAAGCCTCTTTCTCAGGGTGTTTGGGGATAGTTACTAGTTTGTGGGGCAATTTCCTGAAATTCAGTTGAGTTTTATACATTTGCTTACCCTACAGACATTTCTTGGACCAAACTTTATGTTGCATGAGGAAGGAAATGAGACATGGCTAATTTCTTCCCCTGCCCCTCCTCGCCCGGTCCCCCTGCCCATTGTCTAGTACAGTCCAGTGGCATTGGAGAGGCATCCCAGGCCTCTCTCCAAGACTCTCTCCCATGGGGCCTGGTTTTGTCTGCAAGGCACAGTAAGGGTGTGGGGAAAACACAGACTTTGAAGTGAGGTGAACATGGATTTGAATCCCAACTCCGCCACTGCACCTGTAAAAAGACAGGATTAAAAGAGTTCACAAAGCAGCTGGTACCAAGCAGGTAATCAGTGTTCACTCCCTTCCTTCCTGGCCCAGAAGGGCAAAGTCTTGGTGCATCCTGGCTTCCTCCTGCAGGCCCCAACCTCCCCTTGTGCAGAACACCCACTTCTGTAGGCCCCCGGTTCTCGGCACGGTCCTGTTCACTGGACTCTGCCCAGGATGAGCTGCATCTCCTTGTTCAGGGGTAATCCTGCTCCTGGGGGTGCCATCCCTGGGGTCTGGGTCAGAGGGTCCCATCTGCCATTGTGGGGCAGGGAGAGAAGAGATTCAGGTCATGGAGAGCAGGGCCCTGGGCGTGGAGAGGAGAGGCCAAAGGCAGGGTGAGGGCACTGAAGGTGGAGGAGGAAGGGCCATTCTCTCTGCTGGGGAACATGGGACCCTGATCAGCGAGGGGCATCGTTGGGAAAGCAAAGAACAAAGCTGGGCCTAACGTCTGGAACCAGGAGGCTCACACTACCTTCCGTGGTTTCCAGAAGCTGTGCTGCAATGTTGTGTGTCCAACTGTTTCAGTAAAATGGACATCAGCCTAGTCAGCCCCGACCCCTGCCCTAGGGGGAAGTGCCCAGAGCCTCTCAGGGTCCCACCCAAACTGCCTTTGTTGCAGTCTCATTGTGTGTTGATCACCGGGCCAGTTTCTAGAGGGGTGAGGCCTGGCCCTCAGTGCCCTTGTCCCCTGCAGCCGTGCCCCGAACCAGCGCCACACAGTGCAGCTCTGTGCCAGAACCCCGCTATGGCAAGAGGCTGGGCAGTGACTTCTCGGTGGGGGCCATCGTCCGCTTCGAATGCAACTCCGGCTATGCCCTGCAGGGGTCCCCCGAAATCAAGTGCCTCCCTGTGCCCGGGGCCTTGGCCCAGTGGAATGTGTCAGCACCAACGTGTGTAGGTGAGCGCCCAGACAACCAGGACGGGGGCAGGAGCAGCACACAGCCCTTTCTCCCTGAGGGAGGCAGCAAGGCCCGGCAGAGGCCCCAAGGCACACAGCAGCCCCTTCCCACCAGCGTAACTTAAGTGGGATGCCCCATTCAGGCCGCATCACTAGGCCTGTGGCTTGGGTGTGGAGACAGCGAGGAGGAGCAGCTGGGGGTACTGGGGAGGGACACATGTGAAGTGGGGGAGAGACAGCGAGGGTCCTGATCCCTGAAGGAGGTTGTCTGGGGAGAAGTCACGGGAAGAGGCCAAAAATGGAATGGGAAGGCCATGAAGGGAGAAGCCAGCAGGAGGAGAGTCCCACGCAGAGGCCGGGGCTGAGGAAGGAGTCTGTCTGGAGGCCCCCTGGGGGAACCACACGGACCCAGGAGGGGCCTCTGACCGGAGCTGCCTCCCCTCCCAGTGCCGTGTGGAGGCAACCTCACAGAGCGCAGGGGCACCATCCTGTCCCCCGGCTTCCCGGAGCCCTACCTCAACAGCCTCAACTGTGTGTGGAAGATCGTGGTCCCCGAAGGCGCTGGCATCCAGGTAGGGGCACAAAGTCTCCTCAGTCGGGCCAGTTGCCACCCACAGGTGCTGGTCATTGCCAAACCCCAAGCCAGGGTGAGCCCAGAAGAAACACATCAGCCCTGTGCCTGCCCCTGTGGCTGAGGAGGCTCAGTCCAAGGGTACAGATGTGGCCACAAACAGAAAAGCACCAGAGCTCGTGGGCTCTTCGGAGGGCAGCAGGGGAGAGGCAGGCACTGGCTCAGGCCAGCAGCAAAGGCTAAAGGAAGGAGTGGGCGTGGAGCTGGAATACGAAGATTGCGGAGGAGTCATGGGAGGTGTTTTTCAAATAGCTTGAGGAGTTTAAGACTTCCAGAGATGAGCAGAAAGCCAGCCAGACTGAAGTTGGCCACCTTCCTGGAATTTCTTTTCCCCATTCTCTACCTTGCAAAGTATCCCACTGTGTTACAATCATGTATTTCACATCTCTCTCCCCCACCAGACAATGAGCTCCTCAGAGTAGGGACTGCGTCTGGCTCTTATTGGAAGGACCTAGCACAGAGTAGGTGCTCAATAAACTGAATTAACTATGGGAAGGGAGGAGAGGAAATGGAGGGAGGGAAGAGAGAGAATTAGGGAGGGAGGGAGGGAGAGGCGCAGGCTGCCGGACTGACAGTTCGATCCTTCTGCCTTCCCAGATTCAAGTCATCAGTTTTGTCACAGAGCAGAACTGGGACTCCCTGGAAGTGTTTGATGGTGCTGACAACACTGTAACCATGCTGGGAAGTTTCTCAGGTAAGCTGGGGCTTCCAGAGGCTTCCATTTGGAAGGTAGCGGTAGACATCATCACCATCATGTTATTATTGAGATATATTTCACATGCCATAGAATTCACCAGAGTTTCTCGGGTAAGCTGGGGCTTCCAGAGGCTTCCATTTGGAAGGTAGTGGTAGACATCATCACCATCATGTTATTATTGAGATATATTTCACATGCCATAGAATTCACCATTTTAAAATGTACACCAGTGGTCTTTAGTATATTCACAAGTTTCTACAACCATCACTACTACCTAATCCCAGAACATTTTGATCATCCCAAAAAGAAACGGGGCCCCCATCTTCACTCACTCCCCACTCCCACCCTCCCACCACCCCCA